GTTCCTGGGTTTCTAGATAACCCTTACAGGACTGAGGTCACCCCCAAACCTCTGACTAATCTTTCAAAGCCCCCGAGTCTTTTCTTGCTCGTGGCATCTACCTACATTGGCCATAAAGAGAGGAAATGGTTGAATGACACTAGCAGTGTGCAGGAAGTAAAATTGCCTGAGAGCAAAAACCGTGGACACCCGGGGCCACTGAGCTTGCCCTTCGTGGGGCAAGGACAGACAGAGTGAGCGTGCATCCGAGCCTTTCTGCAAGACCCCGTGCCATTGGTGCTGCTCAGTGGCTAGCAAAATTCAGGCACGCTGACGGGACGACAGCCAGAGACTAAGTGCCTGTCCCAGGCACTCCTAATTAAATGATGGTAAATCCATTTTTTCCCCACGGAGCATGTCATATATTTAAATACACGAGCAGCAAAGCACCATTCTCCCTGTCCACACTGCGTGGCATTCTGCCTGTTGTAATACAGAGCATGAAATAAACCTGTTATCTGTGAAAGAGTTTATCACCTAAGACAGAAACACTGATCTCAGAGCCGCTGTAGAAAAAGAAACAGTCAATCAGCCAGAAAAATACATTCTATTATCTGTAAGTAGACGGTAAGTGAATTTCAGGGGCAGGTTACCGGGGAGTCAGGCAGACACTAATGCGAACTGTGGTCTAGTGTGGTGCGGCCTCTGGGCATCATTCGCGGAAGCAGCACGCTTCAAACCCTCGGTTTTCCCTTTATCCTGTACTGCTTCCTGTCAGGGGAAGTCATCTGCTCCGAGAGACCACCAAAGAAGTGGGCTTGGGTATTTCAGTTCTGCCGAGGTCCCAAGCTCCTTGAAGACAGGGACCACGTCTTAAATTTTCTTTCTGAAAAATACTTTGTTTTAGTCGGTGACCGAGTAATAACTTGCCAACCGATTCAGAAGAATCCGTGTCCTTCCTAGGCCTGCAGGGGAGGAGGATGGTGTGTGTCAAGTGACACTGAGCATCCTCAGAGGCTGTATGTAAGGGGACATGTCAAGACGGCCAGGCGTTCAGAGAGCGTGGCATTGGCCAGATTGCAGAGTGGGAAATGCCCGCCACGTGTCCCGGGACAGCCACAGGAGAGAGGCTGAGAATCCAGACAGGAACGGAAAATTCAGGCCCGCGAAACGGTGCTGATGTCGTTCTAATGTTGTTGATGTTTGATGCACGCTCTGAGAAGCCCTTTTTGAGTAATAAAGTTTATATACACACAGCGTATGAAATCATAGCAGCCCTCGCGAAGACCAAGAGGTGCTTCTGATTGTCCGGGGGTGGCGGGAGAAATTCAGGAGTAGATAGCAAGTCGCACCGATCCAGAACAGGCAGCGGGTTCAGGACACATTACGAAGGAAGGACAGACTGACTTGTACAGTTCATTCAGACAGAGCGTGAAAGACGACCTCAAAGGTTTCCTGTTGCTCTCACTGGGACTGACAGATCGGCAGTCAGCGTGGCTTCTGAGGCACTGAGGGCAGGCAATCCGAGCACAGTGGAGCTGCCGAAATGTCCCCACACATCCTGAAATGCCCCCCCAGCCCCTTTATTGAGCAGAAGTATCGCCATGATAGAATATGATGGTTTTCACAGGATTCTTTACAGTTCTGCCAGCTGTATCTCTTGGCATTCTTCATTTCCTTTAGTTTCCATGTATTTGAAAGATGATTTAACTTATCCGCCACGTCTTCCTTGTGCTGGCAGCTTGGCTGCTATTGGAGAGGCAATGTCAAGCCAGTTCACTGCGTTTGAGAACGGCTTGTGGGTAAGTAGGAAAGCTGTCTTCTGGTTTTGCGTGAACTAGATGACTACAGAAACAATAGAGGCTTAAATTTATGAGATTAAGAAAACTATATGAATATTTCAATTTTATATTCTTCCATTATCCAGACAGATGTTCCTCAAACTTCAGTTACTACAATAGGAAACCAATTACTTGTTCGTTTTTAAAACCTGGACTCACTGATTGGTGATTTCAGAAACTTAGTGCCATGCTTTTAAAAATTGGGTGTTGGGATGGCGTAAGGGTTACGTTGTTAGACTCCCAAGTAGTCAACTGTGGTTCGAGTCCTGGACCAGGTGGCTTAAAAGTCATGCCAGGTGCATGTGTGTGCCTGTCCAAAATCCTGAGAGGAGAATGTAGGAGAGGGGATTGTGGCATGGCCATCCTCCGAGGGGGTGATTTCTCACTTTCTGTCTCTCTGCCTCTCTCTGTCTCTCAGGCAAGTACACATGACCTATGGCAAAAGTCTATCTTTAAAAAAACAAAATGGGTGTTGAGAATACTGTTCAAGCCAGAATGTACTCAGTGAAAACTGTTTCCTAGGCTCCAGTCATTGTTAGCTATCCACAGGTGATACTGGTGTTTAGTCCCCTCCCTCAGTGCAGTGAGAGACTGATACAAGGTAAAAGTTAGGAAATCTTGGGGCCCAGCAGCTGGCATAGTGGTCAGGGTGCTGGACACTCCCACATGGCCAACCATGGTTCAAGTCTTAGACCTGGTGGCTCGCTCGCTCTCTCTCTTTCACTCTGTCTCTCTGTGTGTCTCTCTCTGGTCAAATTAAAAGAAATGAATGAATAAATAAAATTAAATAAATAATTCTTAAAGAAAAAAGATTTAAACAAAAAAGTTAGGAAATCTTTAAGATATCCAGCTCTCAAACCAGCACTTCAGTCTTCTTAAAAAAACAAATAAACAAACAACACCAGTAGACCATGCTCTAAGCATTCAAGAAAGAGACACCACTTAAAATCCTAAGTCACAAAGCACCCCTTTTGGCTGCCCTTCACCCCATCACTTCATTTAGTATATGGGTTTAGTAGAGCAAGTTCCCATTTCTCTTAGCACGTGTGATAATCTGATGGCCTCAATTAGCGAGGGGAGAAAAAAAGGCCCACAAATCTAAAAATAACTCCGTCATCCCCGCGGAGAGGGTCAGCCCTTCCCACCGGCCCAGCCGATACTTAAGTAAGTGGCCATCGATCAGTCTAATGCCTGCCTCTCGTCTGTCATAAATGAAGAGCTGTGGCTTTAAGTAATCACAGGCTGCTTGTGCCAAAGGCAGAAGCTGCAGTATCAGCTTCTGTGGGAGAGGCGGGAGAGGCGAGTCCGAGTCCCAGGCACAGGGAACCTGCAGGACGGGAAGCGCGGCCCGGCCAATGGGCGCCTCCTGCTAGAGCTTCCAGTGCAGACGCCTGACGCTGCTGGGTGGCAGGGCCACCTGTGCGCTGCACGCTGCTCCCACAGAGCAGGGCAGGGGGAGTCGGAGACGGACGCTGGAAATGGGCTGCTCCGGCAGCAGAGTGTGCCTCTACCCACCCTGTGCTGCGACCAGGGTAATTGTTTGTTTATAGTGCTTTGCTGGAAGAATGTCAGCGACTCCACCGGGCTTGTCTGGAACTAGGGGAAATGCTTCGCATGACAAGCAACTCCTGCCTGCAAAGGCTGGGCTCCCGGGCTCTGCAATGCCGTGCTCAGGATGTGGTGGGTGATCCTTGAGAGGGCATTTCCAGAGAGCCTGGAAATCCTGCGTGTTCATATCTCACGCCTGGTGCTCGGGGATCTGCCTTTTGGGGAACCGTCTCTGCGTACAATATTGGGGTGTGTGTGATGGCCGTGTTGCTGGTGACTTGAAAATCGTTTGTTATCACAAGGTCAAGAACTGCTTTTACATACGGGAACAGCTGCCCGGTTTCAACCCTCGGTTTGTTTCTCTAACGTCTACTTAACATTCCCGCTGATCCAAAAGATACTAATCCTTAGAACATAATGTGTAGCTGAATAAAATTCATTGACTCTGGTCTTTAAAGGATTATCTTTTGGGGTAACTTTGTAACAAACTTTTTGCCCTCCTTTTTGAAGTACTTGATTAGCCCTGTAACCAAACATTTTATTTGCAGATATCGGACAAAGTGCATGTAAGTGCCTGTTTAGAACATTAAATATTTATCTTAAACTGATTAGGCCTTTATTGTCCCTGGAGGAGGAGAGCTTCCCTGGTAGTACAGGATCCGCAGAGAAGCACTGGCTTCAAGGGCACATGTTTAAATGGACCACCCGGTGCCACCAGTGGAAATCGCATGAGGATCTGAGAGAGAGAGTTTCGAAACAGGATTTTCCTTAACAGCTGAGGGACATCTGTATTGTTTAACCACACAAACTGTTAGCCTCAATTCTGGGTCTCGCTTTCCTGGTGATAACAAGTGTGAACTTCCCTGAAAGGGACCCTCTCGCAAACATTAGTAACCTGATGTGTGTTTTCCGCAGCGGGAGGAAGCTCTGAAACAACACAAAACCCTATCTCAAGAACTCGTCAACCTCCGGGGAGAACTAGGTAAGAGCCTTTTGTTGTCCTTGTTCAGATTTACAGGACGAGGGGAAACGGGGCAAGTTGGGTTTTCCTGTCTGCTCTGTGTCTGGGGCTGCGCGCCGGCAGCTGTCGGCTGCCCACTCCGGGATCTGTGCAAACACTTAACTATCGACATTTCTTTTCCGTCTTGGCAGCCTGACCTCGAGTTCACAGAATTCCCGACACTGATCTGACTAAGCCTAGCAGAGCTTCTGATGACCAAAACATTTCTCTTGCAGAAGGAAGGAACAGAATAATATTTGTAATTGCACGAATTCCTGTTAAATAATTATTTTTTTCTTGAACTACTTTTCATGTTAAAGAGCAGTGAGCAAATCCGCTCTCTGATGGAAGTAATTGCTTTGCTCGCTGCAGGGGTGCTTAGAGAGTGATGAGCAAAAAGGTAAGAGGATGTTGGGGCCACAGATGGCATAATGGTTGCACCCCTGGGCTCCCACGCCCGGACCTGGCAGCTTAAAATCTACCCCAGGCGCATGTGCGTGCATGCTCAAGATCCTGAGGAGAATGGAGGGGGAGGGATCGTGGCATGGCCATCTCCCCTTGGGGGTGATTTCTCTCTTCTGTTCCTCTGGTGAGCACACACACCCTATAGCAAAATATCTTTCTTTAAAAAAAAAAAATGTGTGTTGCTTGTTAGGGCAGTGGGCCGCAAACCTGTGTTCCGTGTTGACCTCGCAGTCGGGGTGGGCAGCTGCCCAGTGACCTCCCCTCTCCCAGGGCGTTGTGCTCGGTGGCCCTCCCAGTCAGCACTGCTGTTCCAGGCCTCACTCTGTGTGGTTCTGTCTCTCCTGTGGACCTCAGGGTTCTTGGGGCAGACGCATCTGCCTTTTCTCCCCCCACTGCCACATCGGCGTGCACTGTCTGCCTTAAGGCTCTGCTTCCTGCTTTAGCTTCCGCCAGATCTGGGCTGGTCGTCAGAAGGCCGCTCCGTGCAGTTCTCTGCAGATCTGTGCGGGTGCCGAGTCTCCACTTACAGCCAGTGTACTTACGGGTATAATCGACTCGAAGGTAGCAGCCAGCCCAGCGGACTCCAGTTCTGGGAGAAGTGTGGTTTTTTTGGAGAGGTTTTGGCTATAAGGGCGCATGTGGTGGCCAGAAAGACAGAGACAGACAGAAAGCGAGAAATCACCCCCTAGGGGGGATGGCCACGCCGCAATCCCTTCTCCTCCATTCTCCTCTTGGGATCTTGGGCACGCACGCACACGTGCCTGGCGTGCATTTAAGCCACCAGGTCCAGGATTTGAACCACGGTCGACTACATGGGAGTTCAGCGACATAGCTTTACGTGAACTGCTGGTCCCATCTGGGAGAATTTTTGACAAGATCAGAATTTAAACTTTGCCAACCTAATGTGCCAGACTTGAATGTCCTTTTAGAACAGATACACATATACATTTATATGTACGTAGCTTTTAATCGACACGGGCTTGTACATACTGTGGTACGGTGTGGTTTTGATACATGGATACAGTGTGTCATGACCGAATCAGGTAACTGCATATTAATTATCGCAGACACTGACCGTTACTTGGCGCTGAGCACATTTCAAATCCCCTCCTCTCGCCGTTTTGAAATACGTAGTTGTCGCTAGCCGGAGGCACCTGCTGTACGGCACCTGAGCTTCCTCGTCTTCCTGACTGAAATACCGTCGCCTCCCTCCATGGCCGGGCTCCCTGAGCCACCGTCCTGTTCTCCGCATCTATGAGGTCAACTTTCTGAGCTTCCGCATTTGAGTGAGAACCTGGTATTTCTCTTTCTAGGCCCAGCTTACGTCACATAACCTAAGTCTACCAGGCTTGTTCATGTGGCCTTGAATGACACAGAATTTCTTACTCTGTCCCTCCTCTATCACGGCAAAGGTCAAAGGGCAGGAAATGTGAGGTCAAGACTTCTGCATTCCTCTCCTCCTCACCCACTCTGGGAGGTGAGGCCCAACTCCTGGCTAAGCCCTCTGGGCCCTTAGCACCCGCCAGGCCACCGGTCCTGACTACTTTAGGCTATGGAGTGAAGGACTGTTTATGGAACGGTGATTTAAGACAGACGGAACTTCACTGCCCCCCATCCCACACTTAGGAGTTCTAGTGAAACAGTTCGAGGCTCGCACAGCCTCGGAGACTGGGCGGACTTCTGCCGTGTCCCTAACTTGCCTGCCGGATGACAGCTTAATTTGCTTTTGTCTGTGCCTTAAACAGTGCAGTGGATACGGAGCTAGGAGGTCCGGAAGGAGGCTTCTGTGTGTCGCAGGGTTCGCTGTCACCCCCTGGAGGTGCCCATTCGCCTCCCAAGCGGTTTGAGTTTCAAGGACGAGAACACGGTGCTCATTCACTCCACTGGAATGGAGAGCCTCTGCCTTTCAGTGGGAAGCACAATTGCGGTCTTACTTGGGGCCCAGGAACTCAGCACCTCCAAGTAGTCACAGAGCCTGGCCGGAAGCCATCACAGCCCTGCCCACGCTCGCCCTCCGGTCTGTGATAAGGAGCGAGTGCCCGGCATGCTTCTCCTGCCGCTATCAGCGTCGGGTGCCAGGGCTGGCCTTCTGTTTCGCTCACACACTCGGGACAGGATGCCTGGGGAATGCGTCACTGCTGTCTGTGAGGCAGGCAGAGCTGCTCAGGGGTGGCAGACGGCACCCTGGGGAGGGTCTGCTCTGCAGGGGGGAGCACGCCCTCAGAGCCGCCAACCGGGCTGAGTGTGAGCACAAGCTGGGGTGAGAAGAGGGATTCACATGGCAGACGTAACTCCATTTTCAAATCTGAGGCGGTAGAGCGAGGTGGGTTAGGACTGCGTGGACACGGTATCTGGGTTTCAATCCTTGGTAGCTGGGTGACCCAAGCACATCACTGTGCCCCTGCTGCCCCGCCTTCTTCCTCTAGAATGGCCATCATAAGCATGTGCCCCACGTGTGGCTGCGAGGCTTCCACGAGGCGACACATCGCGAAGTGTCATCCCTGAAAGTTACCAGCCGTTGGGTGGTCGTTGATGACGCGTGCGGTTTCAGCCGTGCAGTAACTCACCACATCTGCCACTTGGTGAGGCAGAAGCCGTACCAGAGAAAGGACTCAAGGAGACTGGTGTTATAGAAGACCCTCAGGCAGGCTCTCCAGACTCAGGTGGGCGTGCGAGCTGACCAGCCCTCGCCGTCGGGGAGTTCGGGCGGAGGTAACCATGCAGGTTTGGGTCTGCCCGTGCCTAGGAGGGTGTGACCTCACGTCTTGGTGTCCAAGTCCTTCACCGGGATGCGAAGTCGATGTATTTGGCTAGTTCCCGCGGGGCTGGAACCACCTTGTAATATAGTGAGGCATGGTGCCTTGCCCGTCACAGGAAATGTGGAGAGAGCACTGCCACCAACACCAGCTCACAGGTCCACCTTTTCCTCCCAAATAATGAGGGGAAAGGAGTCTTGGTCTCATTCCCACTGGGTAATGTTTTTAAAAAGTTTTTGCCATAGGGTGCATGCACTTGCCAGAGAGAGAGAGAGAGAGACAGTGAGAGGGAAAGTGAGAAGTCACGCCCGGGGGGGGGATGGCCCTGCTGCAACGCCTTCTCCTCCGTTCTCCTCCTGGGATTTTGGGCATCTGTGCATATGTGCCCAGCATGAATTTCAAGCCATCAGATCTGGGATTCAAACCGTGGTCCGCCATGTGGGAGTCCAGCACCTTAACCACCATGCCACCTGTTGGCCCCTGGGTAATTTTTCTTTACCTTCTCTGAAAATTGAGACAAGTTTCTCAGTTTACTAAGAACTGCTAAGAATAAAGGACAACTCACAAAGCCAAGAACTGGGAAACCCAGTGAGACTTTGACTCCAGCGCCTCCAGGCTTCCCCTCATTGAACGACAGTCCTGTTGCTGCTCCATCCCCACCCAGATGCGTGTCCATGGCTGCCGAGGGGGGGCAGCTGACCCCAGGCAGTCCGAGTGTTCCCCTCGTCTGAGCCACACCCCTTTCATGGAGGGGCTCACCAAGTGCTTCTGCAGAAACTTTTCAAAAATAAAGCCCTCCATCTCTTAGAACAACACCGTGAGGCTCCTTTCCCCCGTGATCTGCTGTCTAACATTGGTGTATTTGCTGTATCCTGTGTCTTCCTCGTATCTTTAGGTAGTCAAGCCCTTAAATGCAGAAATTTTCGTCCCGTTTCCTATAGGGAAAATAGAATATGCATTCCATTTTTATGGGCAATTGATACATATTTATAGACATTTGCAGTTTTAAATTTTTTATTTTAAAACAATGTATAAAATTACTTTTTAGGGGACCAGCAGGTGGCATGGTGGTTAAGGCGCTGGGCACTCCCACATGGCTGACCTCAGTTCGAGTCCTGGACCTTGCTTTCTCATTCTCTCTCTCTCTGTGTGTGTGTGTGTGTGTGTGTGTGTGTGTGTGTGTGCGTGTGTGCGTGTGTGTCTGGTCAAAATAAATGAATGAATAAATTTTAAAAATTATCTTTTAAATTGTCAGGATGTGTATTCTCACCAGTGAGAGAGACAGAGAGAGGGAGAAGGCATCCCTTGTAGGGCATTGTCATGCTCAGCCCCCTGTCTTCTCTCTCCCCATCCCATTGGGATCTTGAGCGCACACTTCCATGGGTGGAGTCTCCCAAGCCACAGGTGCCGATATTCAAACCGTGGTTGGCTATGTGGGATCTGGCTCCTTTAACTTTTTGAAGACCCCCTCCTATGAGCATATACAATTTTATACTCTATCCCCCCCCCCAAACCTGCCATAGGGTGGGCACTCTCACTGGACAGAGAAAGAAAGAGAAAGCATCCCCCAGGGGGTTACCATGTCACAATCCTCTCTCTTTTGGGGACTTTGGGCATATATACACATGTATCTGGTATTTTTGTCAAGCCACCAGGCCCAGGTCTTGAACTGTGCTGTCAGCCATGTAGGATCCAGCCAACTTAACCACCATGCCACCTGACTGGCCCTGTCACTATAATTTCTTTTTTATGAAAATATCA